GGTGAAACTACCATACCTGAGTGGAAAGGTAGAACAGATTCTCTGAAAGCAAAAATCTCCTATTAATTACTTTTTGGTAACAAACAGCATAACGACTGATTGCTCTGACTATTCCTTAAAAGAAACCTAACACTACATACAAGGAGTGAAAAAAGCTACTTAGACAACCAACCTGTTGCAAGTGATCTTTCTCCAGGGACTAGTATTCTTTTTTACTCTAGCAGACATATGTGAATGTGGTAAAAAATAATTATTCAGGGTTAATGGTACAAAGCCTAACCTACCACTATACATTGATGAACTGAATAGTATTTTATTTAAACAGGGAAGTGTGACAGCTATGACAGTGTTCTTTCCATTAGATACTGCAAGAACCAGACTTCAAGGTTGGTTATTCTTTTGTGGCTCTGGAATTAGGGGTGGGTTACTCAAATATAAAGGGAGGAAAAATAGTATGTTATAAAAACTCTTAGAGGATATAAGGTTGATACAATTTCAGCTCTTACATAAGTGGGTGTAACTGTTTACTTAAAACTGAAACTTGCTGAAATACCTTGAACCTTTAATAAGTGCTGCAGACATAAACTTAAAATTCATTGAAAAGTGGGTGGAAAGGTGTGTATACATGGTAGTAGTTTAGAGCAGGGAAGGTACTTGATATTTCACGAACTGTTCAGATATGATTGTTTTGCAGCAATTTGATGACGTAGGTTTGAAAACAAAAAACCAAAAAAACTGGGTATGAATAAACAAAGTTGATCTTTAGGTTTCATTTTTATCACAGATAGCAATCTTTTTGCTCACTCAACATGCCATAATATGGAAAAGGCATGTTTTGAATGTGTAAATCTAATACTTCAATACTATAATTACACACTGCTGTGGCAAATGTGACCACCTGTCAACAGAGGGAGAGGGAAGGAAGAACTTACAACTTAAAGGGAGTGGACACTTTCAAAACTTGTTGGCAGATAGAGAGGGGGCACTTATTTGAAGAATGTTTGTGCTTATTTTTGCAGCCATTTTTTTTCTTTGGGGATGGGGGAGAGGGTTGATCTAAGCTTTGTCTTTGAAATTTTTGCCTGTCATGGCTGTGTATCAAGTTTTCATTGTCACACAACAATATTTTTGTAGTTGATGATAAAAGAAAAGCTAAAAACACAGGACATATTTTGATGGACATAATTCAAGAGGAAGGAGTGTATGTATGATATTATTCAATTTACGGTCTTTTGTCAATAATATTTTCAGTAGAAACCAAAATCTGTAGACTATCACTGTAATTATGCTGATTACAATTACAGCCACTTACATCTAATGACTACAAAGAGTGTGAAAGTCTATTTGTAGACTCTGCTCTCTAGTATGTCAATTATATCTTGCTTGCAAAGTTATTTCCTGAAAGGTTTTGGTAGTGACATGGTAAGACACTTGCAGGCTCTTCCTTTGCATAGAGTATTATCAGCATATGAATGCACATTCATTGCCTGAACAATCTAAATTAAACTTACAGATATGTGATATGTGGTTTACACTGGCAATCATTTAATTTTTAATGAAAATGGAATTTCAGTTTTTAATTATTAATGAAAATCACATTTTAAAGAATATGGCAAAGATACTGAATGTTAAAAGCTAAGTTTTCCATTTGTTTCACAATGTAGTCACATGTGATGTAGATCGTGACATTTCGAGTGCATACTGCTAGTCTTCTTCAGGTGATGAGGTTGACTGGTCATGCATGATCTTATAAAGCATGATGCTCTGCTGTGATTAGTTGTTTTTCAACAGCTCTGATTGGTGCATTTCGATCCTTGCTGTTTCACTCAGTGATTTGCTCCCTTGGTGGTCCGCTGTCGCACGGCTCTCCTGTTGTTGTGTTTTTTTTATCATGGGCATCCACGCTTCTGGAATTTCTATTTCACTCTCCCTGTTGATGTTGTGAGGGTGAAGTCTTATATGAATTGCCTCTTTGACCCTGCACGTGTAGTAATAAGGGTCATGATCAATAAACTTTACTTTGTTCCAGAGTGGCTTGTGTCTGATATTGTGGGCATGCTCTGAAACAGTGGAGGTCTTGGTATGGGCAAGTCAGATGTCTTGATTGTGCTCTCTTTAATTCTGTCTTGCATGGGTCTTCCAGACTCTCCGATGAACACCTCGCCGCATTCACAGGGAATCCTGTAAACTACGCCATCTTGTTTAGGCAGGTTGACAGCATCTTTTGGTTGTAACTAGCTGAGGTCTTAGCGTAGTCTCCAAATTGAAAACAGCATGTACACCTTGTTGTTGTGACCTCATCGCCATAAGAAGACTAGCAGTATGCAGTTGACACGTCGCAATCAACAGCACATGTGACTACATCGTAAGACAAATGGGAAACTTAGCTTTTATTGTTACTCACCATGATGAATAACCACAGCCTTTTTTAAGAAAATACTAAACGTTGTTTGTCTGGATGTGTTACAGGTACTCTTTGTACCGTGGTCTCCTTCCAGTCCTGTCAAGCCTTTATTGCTCCAATTTTCTCTATTTTTATACCTTCAACGGTCTTAAGGCAGTATTTGTAGGGAGAGGAGAAGTTTCTACATCACTGCAAGATCTGTTATTTGGATATTTAGCAGGTAATGCCATTTCAGTGTTCTTTTTTCCATTGAAAGGTGTATTCAGAGTACTACCATGGTTGGCACAGGTCACAGCAGAAAAATCTTTCATAGTCAGAAAAAAGTCAGAGAGTTAATTTGTTTTTAGTCCAGGAGAATTGAGAAGAGAATTGAGAAGTGAATTGAGGCTTTTCTTAAAGATTGAGTTTGATTAAAGTTCTTCTGAGTTACAGAATGCCATGGGGATCACATCCAGATCACATGAGATCAGTATTCAACCACTTGATGTGCCAAATAGTATTAAAAAATGTATATGCATAGCTTCATCGCTAATGTGCAGAAGGGTAGGTGGGTTAGACATTTGTTCCATGGTATTCTGTAACTTGGTAGAAGTTCAATGTAGTGGTAGGTCTTGAATCATTTCTTAATTCTGACTCATTACAACAGGAGGGAATTCCAGGAGATCTCAAAGAGAGACATGCTGTGTTTAAATAAAAGCTTGACTAGGAGCATTCCTTTCTTTCAGCAAACTCTGTTGTGTGAGAAAAAAAGTGCAGAAAAAAATTGATGAAAATGCACCATGCAGAACTCTGGCAGTGAGGTGCACAAAAAGTAGTTTAGTGCAACCCACAAACATTCTTTTCACTTTTGTTCATTTTACTTTCAAGATGGACTGTGGAAAAAAGGAGGGACTGCTTGTAGATAACAGCCAACTGAAAACTATGTTAACTCAACCACAATGTATTTGTCTTAATTAGCTTACAATTAGCCCCCCCCCCTTTTTTTATCATAAACTGTGTGAAGTGCACTATGAGTCACAAGATCCTTTTGAAGGTCAGACTTTTTGGTAAACTTGGAATGAACTGATTCCAAACACCAGTCAGTTGTACCCCACACCCCACCTTGATTTTAAGTCTCATCCATGTAACAATCTTATGAATAAAACTTGGATGTGGATTGTTTCAACTGACAAAGTTGACACACTTTTTTACGTAAACTGAACTAAGTTTGATCTGGATAATTTTTTGAGCATAATCATGATCTGGCTTTTGATGTGCAGTCTTCCTCCAGATGTGTCCTTTATTTGCTCTATGGCTCAGTCAGTCTTTGGTAATTTACACAACACATTTCTTTAAGGTTTTTTTTTTTGCAGAGTTTCACTGCCTCTCTTGTTATTTGGTGATAAATGTGAACCAAAGCATATTCTTGATGTACAGGCTGCTACCATATTAATATTTACTGCTTCCTTTTTCAGGAATTGTAAATGTTCTTATGACAACGCCCCTATGGGTTGTAAATACCCGCTTAAAATTACAAGGAGCAAAATTTAGGACTCAGGAAATTGAATGTTCAAAAACAGCAAAATACAAAGGAATTATTGGTAAGTACATTGTTCATAGTCTATGCAAAGTAGTTTACCAGAGGTGACTGCATCCAAAAATTACCTGGGTTGAGCAAGCAAACAAATAGCAAAACTTTGCTTTGAAAGCAAGAATTTTTTTTACCTCGTTTTGAGTATCATGACATTCTTTATGGGCTAAGTTAGTGAGGTTTTAAAAACATCATTGCTTGGACTGAAAAAGTTGTGTGGCTATTCTTTCAATGCAAAACCAACACAGATATGGGTACAACTTAATTTATTATAACTGCTTTGCCCAACTTGTTTAGATGTAGAGGGTAGACTTACAGTGCATTTTTAATGAACTGTTACACCTTTATTCACAATAAATTGAAAAATGTATTGAGTGAGGGTAAATGAAAATGGTAGAAAAATTCCATTGGGTTGTTCTGAGCTACATGTTCAAATGAAAACTGATTTCTATTGACTCAGAGCTATTAGCACAAGAGCTGATGGCAAACCAGTAGACTTAAAATTTGGACACAGACATTGTGGTTGAGTTTCTCGCTGATTCTCGCTGTTCTTGTTGTGAAAAATGAAAATCTTTGTTTGTTTTGATCTTTGTAAGACCAAGTGCCAAAGAACTTATCTTTTAATTTCACTTCTTTAATATTGGTTTTTCATAACTTTTTTAATTAACATTTTCTGAATATGGTTCTGCGTCCTTGGTATTGCCCTGGCCTTTTACGCAAGCAACATTAATTTTGTAGCTTTACTAGTAGGACTGATATGCACATAAATGATGCTTTGATATGTTGGTTTACAGATGGATTGAAAAGGATTTGCAAAGAAGAAGGAGTGATGTCCCTTTGGAGCGGTACAGGGCCATCCCTTGTTTTAGCTGGTAATCCAGCTATTCAATTTATGGTGTATGAGGGTATAAAGAAGTTTTTGATGACTGAAGATAACAAGGTCTGTGCACATACAACATCATCTTTGCATTTTTCCATTTCTTTTCTTTTTTTTTTTTTTTTCAATTATGTATATCATATGTTTTTTTATTGGGGGTTATGGATAAAAGATAGAGACATAGTTTACAGTCTTGTTAGTAAGAAAGGAAACAAGTTGAAAGAACAAGGTGGAATGTTAAGTGAGAGATGGATCTTTCTAGTACTCGGCAGATAACAAAAAAATTTCCCTTCAGTCTCCATCAGCTACAGTGACATTTTATTATAATGTACACTTTCTGTCCCTTGCTGATGTGGAGCCTGAAATGCTAATTATTTTACCGACAAGAGACGACAATTGAAAAGGGAATCCATCTTTACAAGCAATTACTATATATTGTATATTTTGTTCGGTTGTTTCATTACGCAGTGACCATGTTGTTTTGAAACTGACTCTGTAATTGAGTTCGCCAGGGTTGTCAAAACGTCAGTCCTGCGAGAACGTCAGCAGAGACGTTTTTCAGACTCGGACGGCAACCAAAAGTAGAATAAGACTAATTGTAGCGCTTTAATGCTAAGGTATCTACCGTAAGGTCGTTTTTTTAGCACCTCAAACCAAATTGTGCTGAGCATAAAGTTGTAGTGAGCACTAGGAATGAGAACATTTAACTTCCAGCTGCCATCCGTGTCTTTAAAAACGATTTTGCCTGAGCAGTCCTTTTTACTGTTATCGAGACGATCAGACTACACGATCACTAAATCGTCTTCAGTTTCATTTTCTGTTATTGTACACAGTCTATTGCATCTTTGGTAAAGTATTAGGCTATCAACTATAGTCTTTTTTATTTTTGGAGGTTGAATTACTACCATGTGATATTGATCGTGTGGCTCTGCTCCTGAACAGTGTTAGGCAAGCCATTTATTACATTCACACCTTGAATCTGACGAAAATCCTATGACCTGTAAGACCATTGTAAATTAAGCGGGGTGGGTGTGACAGATTCATGTAAACACAGTGAAAATTTTAAAGCATTTTACTGAACTTCGATGGATAATGTACATGCTCAGAAAAAAATCATCAGAACCGTAATGACATAGTTGGGAAGATGCGTGAGGTGAAACAACAGATTTGTAAACAAAAATTGCTTTTTCCGCGATAAGTAAACATCACTTAAACTTTTTGTCTCTAGTTAGTAAAGATCTGCTGTGCGGTTGTTCTAAGACTCATGTTTTACTTTCAGACTCTTAAAAAGAGACAATATTTTGCTGTAGGCGCAATTGCTAAAGCTGTGGCTACTATTCTTACCTATCCACTTCAAGTGGCTCAGTGCAAGCAGCGAGTAAGTGTTACAATGTATGTAGTGTGGTGTCTGTGAGCAGTTTCAAGGGGAGCTGCTCAGGTAGCCCACACACGATGAACAGAAGCAAAGCAGGGTCCATCGGCTTGCGTCGTTGTGGAAGCCGGGAGACCAGTAGCAATATTCTGTGAACTTCGTAGTGGGCCTTGCCTACCATTAAGTCTCTATGGCTGAAGGGAGAGTATCTGGGCACGGAATCCGAAGGTCTGAAGTTCGATTCCTCGTGTGGACTAAGAATTTTTTGTTTGTCCCACGCTCGTGACATGACGAAAAACATCGTTCTCTATTTCTTTACTAAGCTTAAAACTTACCATCTTTCTTAATCTATATACAAAATACGACGCTATCGACATTGCTGATCCTAGCAGTATACAGGACGCGTGTCATATAAGAACTTCTTAATAAACTTTGCCCACCATATAGAGTCTCTGTTTCTGAGAGGTCCGAGGTTCGATTCCTCATAAGAGCTCAGAATTTTTTCTTTGTCCCACGCACGTGACAAGACAGAAAACATCTTTCCCCAATATTATACGCGCTATTCCTTGAAACATTACGGGACAGGCTTAATATTTTGTGTGCCATTTTTCTTGTTGTTATGTATGCTATCTGAAGATACTTTTATTTTTAGTCTGGAATCAAGACGCCAAGTGGAAAGGCAGACATCCTGTCTCTTTTGGCGAGACTTGTGAGGTATGACACTTTGTTTTGACTTCATTTGTTCCAGTTGTGGTGGGTTTTACACAGCAGTGCTTGTTTGTGATTACAACGTTGAGTAACAACTAGTTGTGAAGTGTGACTTTGTTTGTTTTGCAGGGAACAAGGCTTTAAAGGACTTTATAAAGGACTAGAGGCTAAGTTGCTTCAAACTGTTGCAACTGCAGCTTTGATGTTTGTTGCTTATGAAAAAATAGCTGCGTTTATTTTTAGTTTACTTCGGAGGACCTCAAGATGAACAATGAGAACATGAATTTGAAACAATGGTCACTGGCTCCATAGTGAGTTGAGTGAGGCCTTCTCCACACGATACTTTTTAAAATCGGTTCCTTTTTTCTCGTTTGGAGTCTTCCGTTCACATTCACATGGCGTTTTCGGGCATCTTAAACGAAGGATTTTAAATCCGGTTCCCGAAGAGGAACTTTTTGGACGAACAAAAGCGGAGGATTTCGGATACGATGGTGTCATCATTGATCTAGTCTACTTTAACCTGGTTCACGTTTCCTAAGTGAAAATCAATATGGCGGGTAGTGAACGTATGTCATTATTACTATAGCTAAATTCAAGTTCAGTAGCTTGATCTCCAATTCGTCATCTGTCCAAATGTTTTGTTTTGAAAACGGAGGAAAAATTCCGTTTTCCAATATATCCAGATACGTCTTTAAGGGGCCTGAATGTCGTCAAGCTGAGACTGATCTGCGCCAAATATTATCCACAGACTGTACGGTGGCTATGGGCAGGGTACTGATGTTTTCATCCGGCTTATAAAGTTTGCCTCAAAGAGAGGGCTTACACTTAATAAGATTCTTTTGCCAGCATCGTTTTTCATTTTTTTCAAGCTGGGATTCAGTTTTTTAGCCCGGCTTGGTTTAAGTCCTTGTCTGTAGATTAAACGTCGTAAATTCCTAGTTCTGGGATCTTTTATTAAGTCTTTTTCAAAGGGGCTGGCTGGGTGTAAACAACATGGAGCCCAAATCGAAGGGGAAGCATTTTCTTTTTAACGGTATTGCTGAAAACACTCGAGTGAAGGATAATAATATTAAAGCCACTTCCGGGGCAATGGAAAGTGCTTGAAGCGATCGGTTCGATCGCGAAATGCTCAACTCTGCACGTCTCTTGAGGGAAATGAACAAGAGCGATTGCTCATACAAAAATATTTTTTTCTAAAAGATTATGTCGAAAATCAACGTTATTTGCTAGCGAGAGTGTGGATATTTGTGAAGTGTATCGTGCTCAGTGTGAATGTACTGGAAGGAAAAATTAATGCAGAGAATCTGGTGTTGTAAAACGTGACCATAAGAGTCGATTCGACTGCGGGAAAGTTGTTCGTGGCAAGTTTGGGTTTGAGATGTACTTGCCAAAAGGAGAAGAAAACATTTGGAGCACAATGTGCGTGAAGGCTTTTGTGGGAAGCGTGTAGAATACATTTAGAACCCACCGTGTTATGTTTTACTATGTTTTTTTGTGAAATCTTGTGAAAGGGAGTGGCTTCCGAGTGTTTTCATTGTCGAGAATCATTTAACCCTTTAACTCCCGTTTCAAATTTGTCATTCTCCTTACTGTCAACTATACAATTCTAATAATGTTAGTTCAGAGAATTTTGTATTGGGTCAATTTATTATCCCCAAATTGATATTTTTCTTTATTCTTATCACTCATCTGGTTGATATTGTATCGATATCGTAAGGAGAAAATTCTCTCTTGGTCACTCATGGGAGTTAAAGGGTTAAATATTTTTGGAGTTGATGGGGATGACAATTCAAAAGAGATCAAGGCTAAAATGAAGTGCCAACTATTGCAATTCTTATTCTAAATATTCCTTTTAATAAATGACTTTTTGGTTGTGTATGGCACAACTTGATGTTTACCACTATCCCGTTGTCAGAGGAAAATCTAATGGTACCCGAACATGACCGTTACAAAAGCTTGAATGGCGTATGAGTTCCCAAAAGGATGATGAAGTAACGCATGTCGTGACTCCGTCCCCAACAAGAATGAACGTCACTGCGTTTCCTGAGTTAAGCTTCTTTGTCGGACATGACCTATGGAATTTGACGTTGTGTTCCCGATGTCAACTTGTTTTCCGGTGTACGTGCATGCGAACATACGTAAGCATCAACGGGGCACACTCTTTCCGATTGCACAATTTTTTTTTGTTAAAAACATGTTCCTGTTTCTTACATAAATGCAATATGGTGTCTTTTTGAAGTGAATAGCTATTTTCCATATTGGTTTAACTTGACAACTTCCGTCGGTTGCGTGGGATGTTTATAACAGAGGAAATCGATTCAATCAAGTGCAGTAAGACACTCAAGCCCTCCCTGAATGCTCGTTACTAACGGCATCGCCGTGGGATGTGAGGTTAAACATCAAATTACAAACGTACAAAGTCCAAGTGTGTTCAAATTCAATTCATGTACACCGTGAGGTATAGTTGTTAACCAGCACGTGAACAAAAGGTCAGGATTGTGTGATGAGGGACGGGGCATTCCACCGGAAACTTTGTCATCCGTGACAGATGAAAAAGTCACGTGGTCACAATCCTGTCGAGTGTTGCCATTGTTAAAGTTTGTAAACAGAGCGTAATATGCACTTTCAAATTGATTGCAACACTAGTAACATCCCGGTGTTAACATTGAAAAGTCGAATCACGGCATCACGATGAACGAGTGGATGATATCTGGATATAAGGTTCGTTTTAAATCCCACGAAGGCGATGTTTATGGTCGTTTGTACGACATACTAACTTGGCTTGTACAAGTACATTTAGATGCTTTGTGTCTGTTTGGCTCGATCTTGTTAACCCTTCAAGTTACATGGAAGAAATTTTTTTCTACTACGCAACAAGAAGTGATTAACAGAGATGAATTTCTGCCTGCTCACGACTTTGAAAATCGCTCGTTCACTGTTAGCGAGTTACAGCAATACGACGGTATCCAAGATCAGAGGATATATTTTGCGGTTAACGGCAAAGTGTTTGATGCCACATACACAAAGGACATTCAGTATTTTATGGATGGACCGTTCACTCATCTTGCTGGTCGAGATGCCAGCCGGGCTTTAGCAACCTTTTCTCTCAATGAAAAGTTAACGAACAAATCCGAAATTGACGACTTGTCAGATCTCAATCCACTTCAAATGGACAGCCTCTTTCACTGGGAAATGCAGTGTGTAGAGAGATATCCCTGTGTGGGAAGACTTGTCAGAAGTCATCAGCCACGTGCTCTTCAAAATGCTTGCATAAGAACAATACGCGGTTGTATGGGTGAACTGGGAGGTACTGCGAGAAATAAGGCAGTTGATGAACTTCCATTACCGAGACCTATCAAAAATCAAATCATATCTATGAGATAATAATTTTGGGACTGTATTACTGCCGGTGTATAAGGCAGTCTATACTCAACCGGTCAGGCTGGCCAATCAGATTTTTAAAACAAAACTTAAGCCGGCGGCAATTTTCTGGAAATTTTGCGGCGGACTTTTCGCCGTAATGAAACAGCAGAATAGTAAAATTCTTGCCTTCACGGGATGTGAACCTTTTGTATCAAAAGAAATCGAAAGGCTACAAGGTTTTTGTTTTGCCTCACCACACTCTTGCGTGGCCTATCAGGTGGAACACTGCCATCTTGTTTTGGTAGTGAAGGGGCTGTGCCATTTGTAATCAATGTTTACACGGGATAATAGTGGCATTAATCCAAGACTGGATGAATGAAATTTGTAAAAACACAAATTACGTGTAGAAAGGCAGAGAATCGAGACTGATTCAGTTCGTTCAAATATTCGAAACAGTTAGCAGCTGCACACCAGGCTTAATAGTGTATAAAGTATTTTTAGATCTTAAATTTCAATAACAATAAAAAACAATAAAGAAAGATTAAAGAGGAACGTTGTCGTAAATTCCAGTAGAAGGGTTAAACAAAGGGCACTCAGCAGCGGAAAAAACCCTAAAAATAACACAGTACTTTTTAGCAATAAGAACCAAACTATAAATTGCTACTTTGAAGTTTTCCGATGAGACCAACATTTAATAATAAAAAGCCAAATGTTCTTATTGTTCAGTGAAAAGGCATTTCTATCCACAAAGCGTTCGACCCCTTTCTTGCGGTCAGTTGCGTAAGAAGGAAACCGCAATCCACAATGGCTAATTTCGAACTTCAAAAGCTCATATTTTGTTAAGCGACCGGAAAGAAACCCTTGAATGAACAAAGGAAGCAAAAACTTGTTGGCTAGTTCAAATCGAAGGGAAAACCTGTCGTTTAGTCCGAGTGAGTTGCTGTCGAAAACATCCCCACTAGGGATGTGGCAAATTGTGAATTTTAACCTCAATCGAACAAGATCCCCATATACACTGCCAGGATTACGATGGATCCAATGAAGCTGGCCTTTAAAACAACAGACACAAACATCGCGATTTGGTTAGTACTTTCGAAAGGAGGCAATTGTCATTTGATGTCGTAGTTGAATAACCGGAAAGAGAAAGCGGCGAACAGAACGCTAGGGTAGATGGGAAGGAAGACAGACGAATATATACTTCACAACAAAAAGTGACGAAGATAAACTCAAACTCGGTCCTCTATCCCTCTCTTAACTGAATTCAAAGCCTTGCTTCACGTGGTAGATAACTGATCGAAGGGACCACTGCCACTCACATACGTCATAATAATTCAAATGTTCTCAGACAACAAGCTTAAAGGGCTCTTAAGCCGCTGTTAGCTTTAATTATGGATATGTGGTGTGATGATGAATTCAACAGAAGACAAGGCGACAAAATTTGAGGGAACTTTCAATTTAGACACAAAAGAAGTAATTGTGTGTAGCAGTCACGTAAACCACTTTAAAAGACACGTCGTAGAGGGAGTATTATTCCTATTGCATCATATCTTCACATTTATTCCTTAGTTAAATTTATTAAGATCTCGGTATTTGGGTTCGACGAAGAAGAACACATGCAGTCGTATCGTTCTCGGAATCAATCCCGAAGGAGTCCACGAGGTTGTCCTGCTGGCATCTACTTCGATGCTGTTAAGTTTCATTATGTCACTATCCTAGACTGGCTGACGTACTACAGATGGCTTCCATCTCCTCTTATGCCTGTTGGACAGGACAAGGAGAGGGAACCTGGTATCGCCAGTGATTTGGCAAAAAACTACCTTTCACGGTTCTTACTTTTCGAAACGGGATGGCGCATTATTTCACTTAAAGTGTTTAGATGTCTTTAAGAGCATGTTCTGTCTCCTTTCAGCGTATTAGAAGAGTTTTATTCACCCATAACTTGGCGATATGTTCACTTTTGATGGATCGAAGTCAGTTCCCGCAAACGGCGACCCTTTGGCATTCCAAGCTTTCTTGAGAAGATCGTGGGTTTTCTGTATAAATAAAAAGGAAAGAACTCATTGATGTATCCTCAGCTACGGCCTCAAGGTTTGTTTAAATGACCAATCATAATTACAGGGAAATGAAAGACACAGGAACCACCGTGCAGCGAATTTTGCAAATTTTTTCCCCATGACTAAAAAAAATACTATCCTGTATTAGGACGATTAATTCTAAGATTTAAAAATAATCGTAGTAAATAACTCGCGGTGCACTCGTTCCATTTTGAAATATTGCCTACGATTTCAGACACTTCACCCAGATCAATTACCATCATAAACAACATACATACTCACACACATACACCTAACTGCGGTTAGGTAATCATAGAAAAAAAAAAAAAAGGAAAATTATAAGCATGTGGCACGAGGATACCGCATTAGCAGATTTATATGTATATTTGGAATCGCTGGAAATTTTTTCCAAAAATATGTGATACTCTCTAGCAGTTTGAAATAATTATTTAGTGGAAATTTTGCTCGGCTGTCGGGCATATGGCCAGAGGGTAGTATATAGATTTAGCCAAGCCTAAAAGCGGAGCTCGCTTTTTTTCCCCCGCACGTCTCAAGGGCACAACGCCTTGACCCGGCCAGGACTAGAACCCGGGTCGTCCGACT